TTGCCCTTCTAGCTAAAGCCACGTTCGTCAAGCATCCCTAGTGAAATAAGATTCCATCGAAGATGGGGAACATTTCTCACATCTGACAAGATTTTCTCCATCCCGTCACGAGTCTTAATCCTAATCGAGCCAATTCTGATCACCTTGCATGGTTTGTTGTTCTCTAATATGACTTCCCCGCCAACAAACTCCTTGTAGTTCTCAAACCACTCATGGTTTGACGTCATATGGAACGAACAACCCGAATCCATGATCCATTGCTTCTTTGAGTGCTTCGTTGTAACAACTAGGACATCCGCACTCTCATAGCCCTCTTCATTTTGTTGTACGACCGCAGCTTCACCATCTTTTCCTTATGTGTTTACTCCTTTCTTCTTCATTGGATAGTTTTTCTTGATATGCCCCTCCTCATGACAGTGGAAGCATTTGATAACCTTCTTGCCATCCCGAGACTTAGACCTGCCTTTCTTTTTACCCTTCGGCCCCCTCTTGTCTGATCTTCCTCGAACCACCAAATTGTCTTCGCTATGCTCATCCAGTTCACTCTTGCGTTTCTATTCTTTAGACCTCAAGGCACCTACAACATCTTCCAAAGAGATCGTCTCCCTGCCATGTTGCAAAATGTCCACGAAATTCTCATAAGAGTTTGGCAAAGAGTGTAGCAAAACCAAAGCCTTATCCTCATCGTCATATTCGACCCCTATGTTCTCCAAGTCCATGATCAACTTGTTGAACTCATCAATATTCTCCTGAATATCCTTGCTCTTTGTCATCTTGAAGGTGAAGAACTTCACCTTGAGATACAATCGGTTTGAAAGACTCTTCGCCATGTACAATGATTCAAGCTTCAACCAAACTTCGGCCGCCGACTTCATCTTCATAATCTCTTGCACCACTTTATCACTAAGACTGAGAATCAAAGTGTTGTATGCCTTTTCGAGCACCTCTTGCTTCTTCTCATCATCCATAGTCAACGGGAGTTTTGATGCTCCCTCGAGTGCCTTCACGAGACCCATGTTGCCTAGATGCACCAACATCTTCATCTTCCATAACCCGAAATCATTCATTCCGTCAAAGTTCTCAATATCAAACTTGAAAGACAAAGCCATCCCAATAATTCTTTAATAGAACCCCTCCAACCAATGAACAACCAAAAAAAAAAAGAAGAAATCCAAGCACTTTCAGACACGTACCTTTCGTCCCACAAAAAAAATGCAAGCCCTAAGCCAAGCTCTGATACCAATTTGTGATTATGACTGACAGATTTAAGCACACAAATCAATGGTTTGCGGGGAAATAACAGTCAAACAAGAAATCAGAAATCCAAAATCAATACAAAAAATACGTAAAGCAAAGGAGAAGAATAACAACACACAAAATTTACCCAGGTTCAGACCTCAATGTAAGATCCTATGTCCTGGAATATGGTGCTTTCGTCTACTATGATCAATCACAAGTGATTACAAGAATGATACAATAGTACTCTCTAAGGAACCCCCTCTCAATTCTCTCTCACTCTCTCACTTGTTCTCTCTGCATACTCCTTGTTTCTCTATGTTTCCTAACCCTTAAATAACCTCCAAAGCCTTTTGTGTAGCCTCTAAGACATGCCCAAGTCGATTGGTAAGTTTCCTAATTCATAAAATGGAAATTTCTGCCAAAACTTAAAGTTTCCCATTTTGCTGATTTCGCACCAGCGCCGCAGCGCCACTCGTCCAGCGCTGAGGTGCTACTCCATGCAACCCGCATCGCTGAAGCGCTGCCAGACTAGCGCCAAAGCACTGATCTCTCTGTCCGCATAATGAACTATGCCTATAGAGCACTGCAGTGCCAAGAACTGGCACTGCAGTGCTACCCCTGCTTCCAACTTGCAAAATAACGCCGTTTGGTCGTTGTTGCTCCATTCTTCAACCACGATAAACTTAGAGACATCCCTCATATAATGTAATGAATTTTGTTAGTTTTTTTGTCCTTAATATTTCACCTAGATAGAAGTGGTCGACATAAAATATGTTTATGCTTTATACATATATCGCATTTTTAAATTTAAATGCGTTCAGGTCATTTATTTTATTGTACATTTTTAAAAAAAAGTCAACACAAACCTTTAGAAACTCATTAACTTAACAAACTTTAATGGTCAAATATCATAGATAATTAGTAATTTAATGGTTATATCAACATTTTTGTTCAAAAAACTGATAGAATCAAGATAGAGAGAGAAAAGTTGAAGACATATCATAGTTTAGGGGGCAAAATATTTACATTTTAAAGTTCAGGGAGCACATGAACACAATTGACAAAATTTAGGGGTGTTTATAAGTATTTCCGTTAAAAAACTTAACAGAGTTAACCTCAGGGGACATGTTGACACAAGTGATAAAGTTTAAGGGTCACAACATGCACATTTTAAAGTTGAGAAGCATATTGACATAAATGACAAAGTTCAAAAAGAATTTATAAAATTTATCCTTGTTTAAATCCATGAGCTTTTTTTTTCATTACGTTTTGTTTTAATTTCTTCGGTTTTCTTTTTTCTCTTTTTTTTTTTTCCTTAGTCCTCCAGGATTGGTATTTAGACTACGTAATTTATTTGCTGTTGTATTTTCTTTTTTTAATTAATTATATTAAGTTGAGGCTTGGAACGAGGTAAGACTTTTAGAAGTGCGAACCAAGTTAGAATGTGTTAATTATTTCGCAATATTAATTGTTCTTTCCCTTTTTTTTTTTTTTTTTTTACCTTTTTAACTTAAGGAGGGACATGATCTAATAAGTTACAAGTAGAACCTAGTAGATTATTTTGGTGGTTTTATTGCTAATAAAGTTGTGTTATGTTAAGATAAAAAAAAAATGAATACATCATGATCTTGAGATGTTCGACTTAATGTAGCTTATACATAATATTGTTATAGATAATAAGCACCTCCATTATCACCAATCACCGTACGCGTCGACACTCATATCTAAAGAGAATTGACTGAAGGAAATGACTGACTAAAGAACGACTTAAGAAGCAGTATTAAATGGAGAAAGAGATTGACTGAGGATCTGTGCGGTCTAGTACTGCGGGTAAAATTAAGAAAGATACTCCCTTGAAGAGCACGAAGACCAAATCAACTAAATTTGAAAACAAAGATAATAATATATAGGACAAGCTTTGAGAGAGCTTTCCCAAATCAAAATAAAGAAACAAGTATGAACTAGAGGCAAAAAGGGAAAATTTATATTCCGGCAATCAACAACCGATTAGCTAAAAAAAAGTAAAGAGGCAATTTAGGAGGCTTAATGCCCCGTTCATTTCGCTGATTCGAGTTTAGAATTCGAGTTTTACTACAGTAAAAAGCTCTCACAAATAATCACTTCTAACTTTTTTGCTACAGTAAAAAGCTCTCACATAAAATCACATCTCAACTTAAATTAAAAACTCAAATCAACGAACTAAACGGACCCATCATCCCCTATAAATATAAGATTTATTCGGGATCCTCACATTCTGCCGAATTACTCTCTCCCTCCCTCCCCTCTCCCCTCTCTCTCTAAATTCTCTCTATAAATCCCCTTCTCTCTCTCTCTTTCTTCCCCGAAACTCTATAATAGACTTAGCTTTCACATAAAAAATAAATTGCTATAAATCCGTGTGTTCTTATACTTTTCCACACTCTACTTTCTCATTCAAGCAATTTGTCAACCTGATGCCAAATTGGCCCACCAATCCCGATCCATGCTTGAAATCAGTCATAAGCTCTCTAAACAAATTTAATTGTAGAATTCACCCTCCAAAAAATAGTTGCTGAACTTACTCGAATTCTCTTTGACATACTCTCTCAAAATATAATGTAAGCAGGAAAGATAAAAACTGTTGTGGATCGTATGTTAGTCCGAATCGAGAGACCGCCCTTTTAAGCAGCTACATTATTGCGTGGCTTCTCCTTTTGAACTTCCAATTCGAGGTACAAGTTTAAGGGGTTGTTCTCGAGCTGATGAAGGCGTTGAGTTAGTGTTGGCCATTTTATGGTAGCTCTTTAAATGATTTGGAGAAAAGCAATGACATAGAGAATTGAGGTTTAAAAGTCTTACAAGCTAATTTCCACGTATATATGAACATGTGTTGTCGGATTCTCCTCTTGGGAATTCATTTACATCTTATTGTTGGACTCTCTCTCTCTTTCTCTCATTCTCACTCTCTCTCTCTTAATAATCAAATAACTACCACAATTGATTGTCCTCGTTATGATACGAAATGAGGTACTCGGATTCGTTGTGGATTGCACGAAAGGTCATAAACTTCTTGGAGAAAAAAGTCACGCCTTCTCACCTTGCAAAGTAAGCAATTCTTTGGCACCACAATCATTTAAAAAAAAAAAAATTATATTTCCACTACATTTCAATCCAACGACTATGAAGCGATTTTACAAAATTAAAACGAGACAGAATCATATTGTTTTCAGAAACAGGAGCCAAGGGCAAAACAAACGCCATCTTATCAGCTTCGAGCTTATAATGCAGAACGGACTTTAAAAGAAAAAAAAAATAGTCATATTTTCTCATAGGCTTTTATTTGCTATTTTTTGTTTTTATTTTTGTCTAGTTTTTAGGCAGTCAATTCTTCTTTTTTCAATTTAGGATTTTTTATGTTTGATTTGTTGGGACTGTCTTTATTTTTAATTTTTTCTCAATAGAACTTTTGCTTATTGAAAAAAAAAAATGTTGCACGCTTTTACATGATCTAAAGAGATAAGATGATCACATAAAAAGAAATAATACAAGGAAAAAGTTACTAGCAATAAGAAACAAAATAATGCCATCTTGGCTCCATCAACCAAGGCTTTTTTTTTTTCATTATTTTTGTGTACCTTAACAATTTCAATATTATCGCCCTAAAGCACCAATAATAGTACTATGACACATAATGGTGTGTACCACACATCTCTCTTGAAACATTTTTTTTTTTTCCAATTTCAAATTTTTTAGTTCACACATCCAAAACCCTATACATACAACCATTCAACCAACACTTTTCTCACCAAAACAACATATATCTTTGTTAAAAATGGAGACCCCAATAATCAAAATTATTTGCCTGATCTCCCTAATTGTTTTCTCCACCTTTCTTCACCCTTCTCTCTCTGAGCTTTGCAATCCTGAAGATAAGAAAGCCCTCCTCCAAATCAAGCAAGCCTTGAATAACCCTTCCATCCTCGCGTCGTGGGACCCACAAACCGATTGTTGCGATTGGCTTTACGTGCAGTGCAACGATAATCATCGAATCAACAGCATCATCATCGAAAACGGCAAACTCGAGGGACCAATCCCACCCCAAGTCGGCAACCTTCCCTACCTCAAAGTCCTCGAATTCATTACAAACCCTAAACTCACAGGACCAATCCCACCAACCATTGCTAAGCTAAAGAGACTCCAGTTGTTCAGGATAAGCAAGGCCAACATCACGGGGCCCATACCGGAGTTCATTGCGGAGATGAAGAGCCTCAAGTCCGTCGAGATCTCCTCTGCTCGTCTCACGGGACAAATCCTGAGCTCTCTCTCTGGGTTATCGAACCTCACAGAGCTTAACCTAAACCGAAACCTGCTCACAGGACCGATCCCGAGCTCATTCGGGGAATTCAAGGGAGAATACTTTTTCCTTGACTTATCCCGCAACAAGCTCTTGGGGAAAATTCCAGCCTCATTGGGCAAGAGGACGTTCGATGTCATCGACTTGTCGTGGAATAGGCTCGAAGGAGACGCGTCATTGTTGTTTGGGCCTAAAAGGTCAACCTGGAAAGTGGATCTATCGATGAACTCGTTCGAGTTTGACATTTCGAACGTGGAGTTTGCGAAAACCTTGGAGTTTTTGGACATTAACCACAACAAGATATTTGGAAGGCTCCCTGAGGGGCTGACCCAGCTGAGTTTGGTACATTTCAATGTGAGTTACAACAGGTTGACTGGAGAGATTCCTCAGGGTGGCGACCTACAAAGGTTCGACGCCTCGGGCTACCGCGGTAATGACTTGTGTGGTCCTCCGCTATCGAGATGCGATGTAGTTACGGCGCTGTAGAAGGCTTTCCATGCATGCTTGAAAGTTTTGTGGAGATCATGAACTTTTGTTCTTTGAAGTTAGTAAGAATTTTGTGTGTGATGAATGTACCGTTTGCTTTATGGCTAAATAAAATGATCACCAGTTCTAATATGAATAAATAATCCTTTGTGTGTTTTGTAGATGAGAGGTAAATGTTTGACCTGTATAATAACCAAAATACATAATTTTAGGATCAAAAATTGGAGAATTTTAATGGAAACAAATTATATAACTAAACCTTTTATAGTTCATACATGAACATGATTTTATAATAGTAACTATGATACGACATGTTATCATGTGAAAGATGCACTAAATATGTCATTAAATTAAGTAAACAATTTAAAGTGCATAAATAATCACAATTGTAATAACGCAGTCCCTCTTCTAAAAAATAAAAAGAAAGGCATATATCCAGGTTCTGAAAAACAAAATGAAACTTTCCAAAGCTCCTATATAACATTTCCATTGGAAACCGTGCCTCGTGTTATACAATTAAAATATCAATTGGAAAATTGTGGACCTGGTAATATTCCAACTTTTAAAAAATCCAGCATTATCCAATTTGCCAGAAACTGATCAATTGGTTCAAACGGAGGAGTCTCATGCTTCATATGATTAATACCGTGATATGAAAAAGTTTATCACCTTTTTCTTAGGAGAAAGGAGACAAATATCTTTTAAAGTGCATGAGTCTAAATTTTTATACCTCATTCTCAATTAATATTTATTTTAGTTAACTAACTATATTAATCAAAAGGGTATTAATTAAGAGTAAAAAAAAAAATTCAGAACCATACACTCTAAGAGTAAATTCAATAATTTTTTTTTTTTTTTTTCTAATAGTGCAAGTCAGACGTTGGACATTTCTTGGGTGATAGTTCATTGAAAGTTGAAACAATCCACAAAAAGATCAAACGAAAAAAGAAGAATTATTTTGTTCCAAAAAATAAAAAAAGATTGGTCTAGAATATAGATTGAAAACAGGTAATGCTGAAAATCGAAATATTCGAGCTGAAATGATAAGTAAGAATGGATAAGTAATTTTTCTTTGTTTAATAATTAATTTTTTGCTTATTAAAAAAACACAGCCTAGCTGTATATTAGATACATTCAACGAGTCAACACTTTGCTCCACCAGTCATATATTTTTCTCCATTATTTTGTGTTGCTTTAGTAGCTGAACATGGAACATGTGACAATCGACAAGAAATACTAATAATAGTACTACGCTTGTATCATATAATTTCATAATTTTTTTTTCGCGCACAGTCAATCCAAAAATTGATGCATGACAATTCGCAACCAACAGAAAATCCTTAGAAATTGATGCATGACACGTAATTCTATATATACATATATATATTTGATATAATATAGAGAATTACGTGTTTTAAGAACCGAAATGCAGTTAAAACTTAGAATTTTATGTCCATTATTTTCATAAAAATTTAAATTTCAGTTTAAATTTTTGTTCAACTATGCATGCATAATTTATGTTGAATTTTCCCTCCAATCATCGCCAAATACATTGAGCCGCATTACATTATTTAAGAAAAGTGAAATAATAATAAAATATGATTGTGGGTCACACATTATTTACAGGAAAAAAATGATAACTTTTAAGAAAAAAAAGAAAGAATGATCATTCGCTTCCACCTTCAAACATAAGCAACTGACAGGAAGTAAAATAACAAAAAAAAAAATGTTTCTAATCCACTGCATTCCATTTCCAAAGGCATTAACGCATGTTTACAAACTTAAACAATAATTAAGCATGCACTTTTTAGTCCAAGTATGTTCTTCACGGTGTATGATAGAATGGGAATAGGGGATTAATTTGATTAAAAAGGGGAAAAAAAACAAACAACAGTCGAGCATATGTATAATAATAATATTAATAATATGTTCCACCTTTCTTTCTTTTTTTTTCCTACATTATTGTGTGATACTGTACGTTACTAATTAGCAGCGAGCATATGTATCACGTGAGAATTTTACCAGAAACACAAATAATAGCACCATGCATCTATTGTTGGTGAATTTGAGGAAATAGAGGATGAAAAGAATGCATAAAACAACAGAGGGTTTTAGGATATAGGAATACTTTTTTAAGGTTTTATTTGTCATCACTTCTCAAAGTTTATTAACGAGTTTTAATGGCAATTATCCCCAAGATACAATAAACAGTTGAACACAATATCTAGCAATAATATTGAGTTCTATAATATAAATTAAATATGTAAATTTTCTAGAGAATTAATAAAGACAAATGTACCATTTCATGAATGAATGCAACATTTTTAATCGTCACATACCATTTCATGAATGAACGCAACTTTTTCAATCATCACAGCCATTAATATGGAGGTACATTTCTCAATGTAAAGGTATCTTTTCATGGATTAATACATCTATTACAATAGTTATATCTATTACTAATAGGTGTTCAGATATGTGTGAAAACATATCACCAATGGTTGCAACGATTTGAAGAGACATATTACAATCTTTCTAACAATCCTCCACTATATTGTAATATTTCTCCAGAATTAACAACGATATACACATACACACATGTAGGTATCTTTCGATTTTAACCTACAATTAGTGACTATATTTCAAAGTATTCACAAGACAACAGTGTGCTTTGCATTAAACTTTGTCTCTTAAGCAAATACCAAAAATATATCACATATGTGTTATCCCAAACTTACAAATATGTTCCAATCGTTTAGCACTATTCTGACCTTGTGCTCTATCTTGGATTCATGAACATTTAGATGACTAAACCACTGTCTTATTAGGAATGGCACCATTCCTTATGTTCACTTAGATGAAGTTTCGAATTATGCCTCTAGCTACTATGAGACTTGAACTTCATTAAGAGTATAAACCCAACCTCAACCACGTAGCTATTTTTACACCGACATCTTGGAATGGACAAATTAAATTTTGGTGCTAACCCGGTCACAAAACAATGACTTGTTCTTACCCATTTAACTATGGAATAGCGGTACAACTACTACATAGTTGGGTTACCATCATCGGTGACTCTTTCAAAGAAAGGTTTCAGTCTCATTCCACTACATGTTTCTTTGACTAAAACTCTTGAAAGACCTTTTGTCAAAGGATCCGCTAGGTTCTTATTTGTCCTAACATAAACAATATTGATAACACCATATGTTGTCAATTGTTTCACATATTCATGTCTCAAGCTAATATGTCTAGATTTCCCATTATAAACCTTGTTATAAGCACTAGACAAAGTAGCTTCACTATCATAGTACAAAGAAATAGATGGCATCGATTGTGGCCACAACTCAATATCAAACAGTAGTTTTCTCAGCCATTTCACTTCTTTACCTGCAGCGGCAAGCGCTATAAATTCACTCTCCATCGTAGAATAAGTTATGCACATTTGTTTCTTAGAAGCCCAAGAGACGGCTCCTCCCGCAATTGTGAAAATCCAACCGGATGTGGATTTGTTATCACTTGCACTTGTTATCCAACTTGCATCCAAGTACCCTTCAAGTACTGCCAGATAGTCATTATATGACAAACCTAAATTAATGGTTCTTTTAAGATAACTAAGTACTCTACTAATTGCATTCTAATGTTTAACACCCGGGTTACTCGTGAACCTAGACATTTTGCATACCGCAAATGTTATGTCGGGTCTTGTACAATGCATGACATACATCAAGCTACCAATTGCACTAGCATATTCAAGTTGTGTCACCGCTCGGCATGCATTCTCTAGTAATTTATTACTATAATCATGTGGGGTATTCGCTTCTTTAAACTTCAAATGAATGAATTTAAGAAGCACCTTCTCAATATAATGAGTCCTCAGCACTTCATTCATTGCTGCTAACAGGTAGCACCGGGTCTTGTTGTTGGCGTTGACCCAGTGATTATATCGCTCGGTCACAACCCTGGTGGCATTGGCTAGAGGCACTGAAGGACAATCCTCTCTAAGGACAAAATGGAAATTTTCACAGATCAAGAGTATGTTCATGTTGCTTTTCTATTTGACAAAGTTTTCACCATTCAAAATTTGGGAAGCGAGAAGTGTGAAAATAGGGTTTGACATTTTTGCTGAAAATAAGGAATTTAACTCAATCAACATTTTGCATAAATATCACAACTTAATTTAAGGCATATAAATATGATGCATAAATGCACATGTTAAATACACAAATACATGTTTAATTGCCTAAGAAATTTTAATCACCATAATTAAGAGCCGCCGCAGGGTAGGTCAAATAATTACTAATTAAATTGAGATTTACTCAATTAATAAATACTATCTTAAATATCTCATACTTCTAATATTTATTAATTTCCTTTAAGTAAGGTCAAGAAAATAATTAACTAATTTAATTATCTCTTCATGAGTGTAACCCACCATTTAAGATCTTTTAGACTTAACTTAGAAGTTACCGCCATAGGGTAGGTCAATTCAAAAATACATCTTTAAGATCCTATCTCGTTGGACGTCAATCTTGTTATAATAATTAATGAACACCCCTCCGTAGGGAGGATGAAGTCAAAGCGTCTCGGGACTCTACTAATCACTCATGGTGTTGTACTAACGGTAGAAACCTATGGGTTATATTGTCATATTACCCGCTCCCACTCATTATTTGCAAATGGTGTATTTATTTTATAAAACAACTCTTGCTTTATAATTCTTACTGAATTTAAACAATTTAAGTCACTAAGTTCTATATAATTTTAAACAACTTTAAAATTATATTAACTCATTTGTGACAATTTTAAAATTTAACATTTAAATTTATAAATTTCACATTTGACTTATTTAAATTTTGCAAAACCATTTGTTAATTTATTTTTAAATTTAATCTCATTAAATTTAAGAACGTTAAATTTAATCTTATTAAATTTGATAACTTTGAATTTAATCTCATTAAACTCAACAACTTGGCGCATTTAATTAATTTAATCTACTAAAATAATTTTAGAATTAAAATAAATAATTAATGTGCATGATGCATGTCATTCATGTAAACTAGGTAGGCACTTTCTATCCTATAATGGCATGTTAGATGCATGACAATATAATTATTCAATTATAATAGATAAATGAATAAATAAAGACATGCAAGGAAAATGA